CCCATCCTCCTGGAATTTGGGTTGTTTGGCACACTGGGATTTTCCCACCCTTCCCTCCTGGAATTTAGGGTGTTTGGCACACCGGGATTTTCCCTGTTTTCCCTGTTTGCTCCATTCTCCACCCCAGGAGAGCCCCAGGGACACTGATCCTGCCTGGAATCTTTGGGATCCAAAGGCACAGGAGATGCTGGCACACCCCTGGCCCCCAGAGCAGCCGGCTGGAGCCACTTACTCGGAGAATCCTTTCCACTTGAGCAGATATTCCACCTTTCCCTTCACCACCCGCCGATCCAGGACCTTCTCCACCACATATTCCTCCTCTTCTTCCTCTAGGACCTCTTCCACTTTCTTCTTGTTCTGTTTTTTTCCCATTGTGCTGGCCAGCTTTTCAGCTTTCGGGCGACGCTGCTGCGAGGGGAGGGAGCCAAGGTCAGCCCTGCCTGTGCCACCCGGGAATTCTCCGGGATGCACAGGGGCAGGGAACGCTGCCTGGGAGAGAACAGGCAGGGAGAACACAGAGGGATGGGTCAGGATGGTGCTGCCAGGCCAACAGGAATCAAAATCCCGGGATTTTGACGCAAAGCTTTGGGGTTTTTTTGCCTCTCCAGCTCCTCGTTCCAGCAATTCCATGAACGCTTTTCCCATGGGATCTGTTCCACACCTTGCTCCTCCTTAACCTGCTCCCTTCCCTTCCCTCACCCCACACAGCCTAAAGGGTTGAACTGAGTGGGTTTTATATTAACTGGAAATTAATAAATCCTTAATCCAGGTCAAATCCAAGTCCCAGCCCCTGATCCCAACCTCCCCACGCTCCTTCCTTTCCTGGATCCGTGGATGGGCACTCTGGGATATTTATCCAACTCATCACCCCACAGCACGGGGGGGTTTATTTCCCCTCCTTATCTTTCAGAACTGTTCAATCCAAAAATCCCTGGATATCCATCCAGGGCTGGCTGGGAAGGGAGAACTCTGGATTCAGAGCCGGATGCCACCCACAGGGAAGCGGGTCCAGGTGGCCCTGGATGGGCTTTAAGGTCCTTTCCAACCCAAACCATTCCATGATCCCAAGATTCCATGACTCCAGGATTCCATCCAGTCCCCCAGGATGAAGATTTTTTTTCGCTTTATTCAATGAAGGAAAACAAAAAACCAACCCCAACCACCTGGAACGATCCCACCAAAACTGAGCCAGAGCCTGAGAGGCTTTTCCTTCAATTCCCAGGTGGAAATACTCCCACCAGCACCTCCAATCCCATTCCAGAGGGAAGCAAACCTGGAGCAGCGAGGCTCCTGGAGGTCTGGAGCCTGGGAAGAGGAGGAGGAGGAGGAGGAGGAGGCAGGGCTGGCACAGCCACAGCCGGGTGTGCAGCACAACAATGGAAAAGCCTCCGGCATCTAATCCCAGCCCAGGAGCAGCAGGAAGCCCCAGGATCATGTTTCACTCTGGAATTCCTGTGTTTCACTCTGGAATTCCTCAGCCAGTTCCTTCCTCTCCCCTCCATCCTCCTCCTCTGGCACCACATGGCTGCTGGAGAAGCTGCTGGAGAAGGGGCTCAGAGCCCAGCACGCCAGGGAAGAGGAGATTCCAAGGTGATTCCCAACAAGGCTCCGAAGAAAAACTCCGGGAGCGCCCGGAGGGGCGAGATCCCGGGATTGCTGCTCTCAGCAAAGGAATTCTCCTCAGCTGCAGCCAGAAGGGCTCCAGGGAAAGCTCTGTGGGCACTGCCTGGAGATGGAGTTGCTGCTCAGGCACCTGAGGGGGCTCAGTTGGATCCAGGGAGGATTCCAGAGGCAGCAGCTGGATCCAAGACTAATGGGAGAGCCAAGGGGAGCTCGGGGAGGAGCTGCTGAAATTCCAGGGAAACAGAGAAGGAGCAACACCCCGGATCCATCATTTTCTGGAGCAGCTGGGCAGGGAAGATGCAAATCCGAGGTTGGGAGCACTTTGGGAAGGAGCTTCCCCAAAAAGGGCTGCGGGAACCTCCCCAAACCTCCCGGATATTTGGGGTTTGTCCCTTCCAGCTCCCTGGGCATCCAATCCAATCCTGGCTGCAGATCCAGGAGGATGAGGCCACATTCCCAGAGCCAGCAGGGAGCAGAGCTCCTGCACAGGCCTCTCCCTGCACTGCAGGAAAAAGGGAGAGAGGAGCTCCAAAGCCTCCCTGGATTTATCCCCGGAGCATCCAAGCTGCTCCACACCGGGAATAATCCCATGGAATCCTCGGCCACCAACACCCAAACCCTGCAATTCTGGGTGTTGAAACAATGCCTGATCCCTCCCTGGATATTTGGGAAGGCAGCACAGGGGGAATCCCTCCCTCCTCTCCAGGGATTCCAAACACACCTCTCGCTCCCACTGGGATGGAAAACGGAGCTGCTTCATCTGGGGGCATTTTTGGGAAGCACAGATGTTCCTATTCCCTTTATCCGAACAGCCCCGTGGCTGCCCCATCCCTGGAAGTTTTCCAAGGAAGTTTTGGAGCAAACCTGGGCTAAGGGAAGGTGTCCCTGCCCACGGCAGGGGTTGGAAGTGGATGAGATTTAAGGTCCCTTCCGACACAAAGCATTCCATGATTCCATAGAATTTGGGGCTCTCCTGCCTGAGAGATCAGTGGGATGTTCCCTAAAATTCAGGCTCAATTTTTTTACACTTCACAAATGAAAAAAAACCCCAAAAATACGATTTCAGGACGAATTTGGGACGAGTCAAGGCCAAATCTTTCCGTTTTCCTTTGCTGCTCTATCCCTAAGGATGGAGGTAAAGTTGGAATCTTTTGTGAAAAGGAAAGTGGAAGAGAGGGAAAAAAATAACTCCAGCTGGGAGGAAAAGGATCCAGGGAACACCTAAACCACTGGAAAAGAATTAAAATTCAGGGAAAAGGCTGGGAATGAGGAGACCCAGGAGAAAAAAAGCGGATTTTGGGAGCAGGAGGAAGAGCCAGAGGTTTAATCCAGATCCATTGGCTGCATCCCGAAGGATTAACGGTTCAGCTGAGCTTTAAGGAGTTCTAAACTTCCAACATTTCCTCCTCCTGCCTCCCTCCAGCTTGGCTGGGATCACTCATCCCTCTAAAGAGTCCTGAGCACGCCAAGTTTATCCCACACATCCCAGGGAAAAGGCAGCAGGAACCTGCCTTTGGAAGTGGGAATGCTGAGGCTTCCACTCTGCAAACAGGCAGGAAACATTCCTGGGAATTCGGGGGGAGAGGCTCCAGGCTGGGAGCAAAGGGAAAGCCACAACCTCCAGGCTCAGCCACATCATTCCCAGTTAAATTCCCAATCCACGAGGGAAGGGACCTCTGGATTTAAGAGCTGCAATGGGAGGGATGGGAATTCCCTAATTCCCTGCTGGAAAGGGAGAAAGGGAGGGAAGAAATCCTGCAGTTCTGTTGTGTGACAGCAGGGACAACTCCTGAACTGCTCCAGAGCAGAGAAATCATGGAATCCCAGCAGGAATTCCAGGTGTGTTCTCCCAAAACACTGCCCTGAGTCCTGCAGGGATCCCTGGAACGTTCCCAGCTTCCCACAAACAACCCCAGGCCTTGCACAGCCCATCCCAGCCTCATCCCAAGGGATTCAGGGGCTGCACCCGGGGGCATTCCTGGTCCTCCCAGCCCATTCCCGGGTTCTTTTGGCTTTTCCCTGTTTCTCATCCTTTCCAATACCAGGATCCCAAGCACGGAGAGG